CTGTGAATTTCTCCAAATCAATTCCTTCCGACGGCAAAGGAAGGGCCGTGATTGATGGTGGGCCGGGCCGGGGATTGCAGCCAAATCGGCCAAATCGCGACTCGCGTCGGTAAAAAACGGACTCGCTTCTTTGGAGCGCGACGAGTGTGCACTGCGAACGCGGCGGCGCGGCGACGAGCAGAGTCGAGATGTCGTCCGAGAGGATTGAACCAGTCAGCACTTCGGGTCCCCACACTCGAAGCAACAAGGAGACGCTCCGCGCCGACCTACAGAGGAGCGCCTAGAGGGCCTCGACGGCCGTGAGGGCGTGGAGGGCGAGGCCCCCGTCACGACCTCATCATGCTCCACTCCCATTTGACCATCGACTGCCGGCGGCTAGAGTCGGCGCGGCGGGCGGCCCGGCCCGGGCCCGGCGGCGGCGGCCCGGCCCGCTCGGCAGCGCCGCTCGGCCACGCGGTGTCTCGGCCGGCCGCCTCGCCAAAACCCCGCCAGCCACCCGGCCGCCCACCCTGCGGCCCGGCCACCGCACGACTCGCTGTTTGTCAACCCCCTTCTTCCCCTCCTCACTGGGTCAAATTCTTGGGGGGCGTGACGACCGGCCCGTCCTGCGTGGTGGGGGAAGGGGGAGGGGGAGGGAGGAGGGGAAGGGGGAGGGGAGGAGGGGAAGGGGGGGGGGAGGGGGGGAGGGGAGGAGGGGAAGGGAGGGGAAAGGGGTCGCACGACGCCGCAGAAGTCGGCGTACTTTTTCGGCGGCGTGAAGAACCACGTCGGGGCGGTGTGCACACGAGTGGAGTTTCTCGCTCGGCGCGTTTAGTGCCGCCCGTAAAAGCACGGCGAGCACGGCAGTGAGTGAGGATACAGCGAGAAGACGCAGGCCAAAGAGCGTGCGTACCCCTGCGGCGCGCGTCTCGAGTCCGACTGATCCAAATGCCCGCCGCGCCGGTCGCACGCCTTCGGTGCCGCGGTGCCGCTGTCCCGCGCCGCCGCGCTCGGCGCCGAGTGCCGCCGCCACGCCGCCCCGCGGCGATATTTATAGAAGAAAATACATCGGGGATGAGCGGCAATAGAGACATCGCAGAGGCGCGGCGGCCCGGCTGGCCCTAGGGCTGGCCCGCGGGGTAACCGACTCAAGATTATTTTCAAGTACAGTGATTACTGAATTATTAAAATTGGAGAGACTTAATGATTACATGTGATAACTTCTGTTTATTTTATCTATCACCAGGCGCGGCCCCTGAAGGCGGCGAAGCCGCCTGAAAGGTAGGCAAAAAGTCGCACATTACCCCCTGTAGGTAGGCAACTTTCGCGACATCGCCCCCCCCCCCCTGAACCCGTCCCTGGATCCGCCCTTGTCTATCACTGATTGTGGGTAGATACTAAATGATTGTTTGATTATTCAAGACTATGGGATATATTATTTGCGCGCCAGCTCCGCCAAGTTGTCAAAATATCGAAAAAGCTAAAACTTTGGGCGGCCACTGCGTCCAAAATAACGGTCCTCCCCCGACGTCGAAGTAACCCTCTATACCCTTCTCTTTTTTGCCCCGCCTTGGAAACGCCTTAACAAAAAATGTTGTTTTTTATTATATTTAATTTATTAGTCAGTCACGCTAAAATCTAAAACGGCGCGACACTGTTTGACTCGGAGCTTTGCGGCCGCACGCGCCAGTGGACACAACATGCCAATCCTCGGACAAGGGATCCACTTTTCTGATTAATTATCGTAAAAGAGTTACTGGGACAAAGGTACGGCTGGTGCGACCAGTACAGCCCGGCTGTTGCTGGTGTTCTTGGCCCGAGGCCAGGGTTCACGCACGGCGCGGCACGGCGCGGCACGGCACGGCACGGCTCGAGTCGGCCCAGTCACATCTCCCACCGCCCCAACGCCCTCAGACTAATCTGCACCGCTGCGAAAAGTGTGCCTGTTTTACCCGGCGACACCGTCAAAGCGGAGCAAGCAAGCAAGCGGAGTGGGCCGGGCGAACAGGAGCACCTCGCCAACAGCAGGTGCGCGAAACGCAGCAAAAGACTCTGCGGAAGCAGACGAAGCGGCGGCGAGGGCGGGCGGGCTTCGGCTTTCAAGGCATGGGCCGTGCCTCTCGATCCATTTGCTAATGGACCACCTCGGACATTGACTGTGTCATGACTGCGTTGGCCCGGCGAGTTCGCAGTGGAGGGTCAACGGCCAGACCCGGCACCGTTATGAAGGGCACCGCCACACCTTGCTGCACACTGCCCCCATTAATAAGAGCACCAAGCGGGGGCCGCGGGGGAGGGCCGCGGGGGGGGGGGGGGGGGGGGGGGGGGGGGGAGCTGCCTCGACAACGGTGACGTGAGGCTGTTGCAGCTGTAGCGGCTGCGGCTTGTACACAATAAATATCGAAGGGTACACTGTTCGTAAAGTGGCCTCACAAAATTTTGAGCATGCGTGCCTTTGGAACAAATAAGTTCCGAATTTCCTAAGAACTTTTTGCGATTCCGCAACACAAATTTGTTCGGAAAATTTGACAAGTACAAGTTTGTTCGAGGCAACGTTCAAAACTGTGTAGCAGCTGTTATATTGCGGCCGACCCTTCGACACACCGATCGAGGCGCTCCAAATAATTGACTCGAACCCTTGCTCGAACCCCTTCCACACGAAGTGCCAATCAATTAGACGCGTGTGCGTTGCAAGCGGCGTGTCGCTGGAGTGTCGTTCGCGTGCCTGCTGCGTGCCCGTCACGTCGCTATCGTGTCCGCCGCGTGCCTGTGACGCGCTGTGGCGTGCCTAACGCGTGCCTGTGGCGTGTCTGTCGCGTGCCCGCCGCGTGCCTGTCCCGTCCCTATCGTGCCTGGGGCGTGACTGTCACGTGCCTGTCACGTGCATATCAGGTACCTGCCGTGTGCGTGTCGCGACCGTGTCCTGTACACAGTGTGCAACCTTCCCGCCAAACCCCTCAGTGGCGTCTCGTCGGTGTGCTCCTTCCTTTCCTCATCCCCAAGGCGCACCGGGGACACGCCCGGCCGCGTCCCCCCTCGGGAGCAGGGGCCGTCGTGTGTGCACCGCGAGAGCCACGGTGGCAAGGCCGCCGAGGGCCGCGGGGACGCCTCGCCCTGGCCACGCCTGGCCCTGGCCTGCCTGCCCGCCGAGCCTCTCGGATCAACGCACCCGACCCGCACCACGGTGACGCGCGGGGACACGCCAAAGGCAAAGCCCTGCAGCCCTCGGCCTGCCCCGGCCTGCCCCGGCCTGCCTCGGCCTCTCGGTGTGCCGTCATGCGGCGTCGTGCCGTGCAGCCCGCATCCACAGCGCACTGCACCGCAATGCACCACCGCCTGCGTTAAGTCACGTGTGCCGCCACCAAAGCGCTCAGCCGACTGCATCGCAATGCACCGCAATGCACCACCCACCGCCTGCGTTAAGTCACGTGTGCCGCCACCAAAGCGCACAGCCGACTCACTGGTTCCGAAAAACGGCGAAGGGAGATTTCGTGCCGCTAGTGCTCGCGCGGATATTGGGGCGGCACCTGAAAGGTGGGCAAAAAGTGCTAACCCCCCCCCCCCTTAGGCCGCCTCTGGATCTGCCACTGCACTAGTGAGAGGTATGAAGGTCTCTGATTGGTCAAGGCGTCGGCGTAGTGGACAAAATCCTCCCGCTTCGTCGATCTTCGGGATCAGTCGTCAGCTGATTTGCGCCAAGTTGGCCCCCCCCCTTTTTTCCTCTCCTCCAGCAGGCCTCGAAACGTGAGCGAAGAGGGATCGTGAAATCGTCAGTCAACATGAGACGCTGCGGGACGCACACTCCTTCCGGTTGATTGCGACCGCCCCGCGTTCGCTCTCCTGGCCTCCAGTGAGGACCCCCCCCCCCCCCCCCCCGCTGCGCAGTCAAAGCAGACAGGTCCAGGCGCGTCTCACGGGAGCGGTGTGAGGAGCGGGACGACGCGACCCCGGTAACCTTTGGTGTACTGCCTGCTGATGCAGAGACGCGGAGGCAACTGTAAACCTTACATCCTGCCGACTGCTTTAACAGTCTAATGAAAATGGAGACCCGTTGGGCGGGGCGGCCTGGGTACGCGCCCGTTTGGGATCGGCAAACTACGACGCCGCATTGAGGGCGCGGAATCACCTGCAATCGACACTTTATTCATAAAGTCAGACGTTTGAATCGAACTCTAGAATGGTCTGGCCCTCTGGCGAGAACCGGGAACCAGGAGGGCGCGAGGAGGGGAGTCGAACTTTTTGAGATGTGACACCCCTTGCGAAAAAGCCAAAAGCAAATGGAGTTGCAAAGGTATACCGCCTGGTACCGCGAGTCGGGTTTCTGGCTTGGCTCCTATTGCTGGAAACAAAAGACGAAGCAGGAGGAGACCTTGAATTCCATGAAAGTTGAACAAACAGAGCTTTTTGCAAGCTAAAACCCCATCCTTTTCGCTACAGTCCGTTCCCCAATCAATGACACGCCGCCGTCCCTCAAGAAGAAAAGGAGAGCGGGTAAAAACAACGTCTCGATCGGAGCTCTGGCTCTGTCACAAGCTAAACACCTCCTGTATATTTCACAGCCCATCCGACAGAGGGGAGGAGGCAGGCAGGGAAGGGGGTGAACCACCAACTGGCCGAGATTGGGTGCGTAGGTACAGTACACGCCGTTCAAGAAACAACATCCCGGCTCGGTAGCAGGGGGAAGAGGCGCAGCTCCCGTCTCTCTCGCACCCTTGCGGGACGCCCCTCGAGAGCGAGAGAGACCACCCGTCCGGAACCTGTCGGCTGGCCACCACAAAGTAGCAAACAGGGGCGCTCCCCCGCCCACCCGGAAGCTGCCGCGGCGATGCCACTCATTTCCGGCAGGCAGGCATCGGCAGGCGTCACTAGGAGAGGCACGCGTGCGGCACGGCACTGTAGGGCACGGCACTGTTGGGCACGCTGCAGCACGCAAGAGCGGGCGAGAGCACGCTTGCCAGCGGTCGGCCAGCGTCAGCCCGCCGTCAGCATCCCCATCCCATCCCTGAAGAGGCTACTTACACCAGTGATGTCGAGAGGGGGGTTCCTTCAGGGCGCGTTAATCCCTGTCGCGTGGACGTCACGGAGTTGCCACGGCGGCGCCCCGGTGATGTAACGCCTGTCACTGCACCGCTATGAAGCCGCCGCCGCCAAACACACGAACGCCCATTCACTGCCACATTGTCACTCCGGTCCAATTGCCGCTTGAAGCCGAGGCACACGGGTCCTTTGTCACTGTTGCCACTGTTCACACTGTTGTTGTTCACTTGCTGCCACTGCTGCTCACTCTGCTGCTCTCGCTGGGTGGCGGAGGGAAGGGGCGCTGTTGCTGCGACAGGCCTTCCCTCGCTCGCGGGCGGGCGGTCGGGCGGCGCGGTGCGAGTGCTGTGGAGGTTCGCCGCGGACTGACTGCCGCTGGCGCGCTGGCCCAGCGCCCAGCCAGCGCCCCGCCAGCGCCTTGGTCCCCACGCCGTCCGCCAGCCGCCAGCCAGCCAGCCAGCCAGCAGCCCCACCGAGCGCAGCCGCAGCGGCGGCGGAGCGGCGAGCACGGGCCTGTAGGCACCCGCAACGGGCTGGTCCAGCTTCCATTTTCAAACCGTTGGAAAGGTACTGTCACATAACCTCACTTTTCGCCTGTCAGACGTTCCTTTTTGTGGCCACCTAGCGTGGTTGGAGGAGGTCGGTTGTGGCCACAACAGAAATGACGTCGACTCTCCTAACGCACACTACAAACCTAACTGTCTACTAAGTACACACTTACGCATGCTTGGCCAAGTACACACTTACAAATGCATGCTTGGCTAGTACACACTTACGCATGCTTGAAGCCGTATAACTCCGTGCTCAAGCATAGGCGTTTGTAAGTGTGTACTTGCAAGCATGCATTTGTAAGTGTGTACTTAGTAGACAGTTAGGTTTGTAGTGTGCACTCGCCTCGTCACTGACTCACTCACTCCCGTCACTCTCAACTATCAGCTCGCGCCATGTCTTCCACCCGCATCGGGCGTGGGCGTGAAGCGAACTAAATCGAATTTCCAATGCAGCGGCGAGGTGTAAACACGAGACTTTTGGCCAAAGTGCCCGTTACCTGCCTGCCTTGATGCCGACGAGTCACGTCACTCCCGTTGGTGCCCATCCCCACCCCTCCCATTTTCCCAAAGAGAAGAGCAACCGACCGCGAGCTGTTTCCTGCTGACTGGTCTGCGACTCAGCGCCAGCCAATCAGCGTGAGGAGCAGATCGGCTTGGTCGGTACCGGTACCGTTCTTTCTTGGGATCCGACCCGGTTACCGTGAAAATGCCCGCTCAACCTTGAACTCGAAATTTCTTTAGTCGGAAGCTTCTATCGATGATCCCTTCAGGGGGCTGCAACGCCAATGGCTGGTGCGGGGGCGATCCGCGAGACCACGCAAAACAAGGAAATCGGGGGGCCTTAATGCTCAATGACGGTCGCTTTTCTTCAATCTCCCGTCACGCGGTCTTAGAAATACAGGTTCATTTTGTGTATTAGGACATGTGGCACACCAATTCGTCGCACCGTCTATTAATGGGGAGCAGTCAAAGTAGTCCATTTTCAGAAGTTTTCCCTCCATTTTTAAATTTTTACTTTTGAGTTTCGGCAATGGGCTTTTCCTAAGCAGTCAAAGTAGTCCATTTTCAGAAGTTTTCCCTCCATTTTTAAATTTGAACTTTTGAGTTTCGGCAATGGGCTTTTCCTAAGAGACTAGCTGCTAGTCACTAGCAGTCTTATCATGAACTTAAATAGCCTACTACATCGAAAAATGCCTCAACTTAAGGTTTGCTTTGAGAAATCGAAGTTACACGCAACAGTTTTCGAGAATTAAGGCCCCCCGATTGACAATGTACCGGTCTCGCGCATAGCCCCCAGCCGAGCCGTTAGCGTTGCTGCCCCCTGATCCCTTTTTGTTTTCATAAAGCTCTTGTTTATTTACGCAGGGACGTACTCGAACGCTACAGGTCTGCTGAGGTCTAACAGCGCTGATGATGATGATGATGATGATGATGATGATGATGATGATGATGATGATGATGATGATGATGATGAGTAAGGGGTACATTAACGTAAAAGCGTATTTAGAGAAAACGAAAAGTGTGTCGCGTGGTTTGTGAACGCTCGGCGCTGTGGCGCTGAGAACAACGGTGCCAGCAGGGCGGCGAAACGAGCGAATCCGCTCCATAGAAGTGTCGCGGCCCAGTGCCCGATCGCGGCCCAGGTGCAGTCCAGTCGGGCTAGGGAATTAATTTATTGAAATCCGATGACGATTACGTTTACAGAACACCGGTAGTCGTGACCACCAGAGGGCCATAATGGAGAGGGGGAGGGGGAGGGGGAAACCAGAGAGGCTCGGGCTTCACAGACCCCCCCGCCCCCCTCTTCCTCTCCCGTTTCGCAGCAAGACCAATTCGAGAGAACCGACGAGAACTTGAAACCGTTGGCGAGTGTAACACTCCAGAGGGCTCACTCGTGTAAATTTAGTCAGAATGTCAGAAATTAGTCTAAAAACCTGATTAAAATTCGCGCACTTCTGAAAACTGAAAACCTTAACTGACATTCTGCAGAAACTCAGACCATCAATATCCAGAATAAATTTTCAGAATTTCAGCCTTCAGAGATGCGTGAGTTTTGATCAGGATTTCGGGCATGTTTCTGACATTCTGACAAAATTTACACGAGCGCTGAGTTCCCCTAGAGCACACAACGTTGCAGGCTCGGACTGGCCAGGGCAGACAGGCAGAAAAATCTGCCGGGGCCTTTGGATTTGTGACCTGTAACGTCACGAAGTTGGTCAAAGAGTGATTGAATCTCCGAAAGTAGCCGTTTTCGCTGAATTTGAGTGGCCACTGCTTCGATCTAGTAGCGGCCAACGGCCTCCCTCGACGTCCTAGTATTCTCAAGACCCTACTCTTTCATGCCCTGTATCGGGAAGACGTTGACCACAACGATTTTGCCTTTGACCGCAACGATTTAGGGACCAAAGTTGGTCAAAAAGTGGTCGAATCTCGGAAATTTGCTAATTTTGCTGACTTTGGGCGGCCACTGTGTCCAATCTAGTTGCCGTAAAAGGCCTCCCTCAACGTCCTAGTATTCTCAAGACCCTACTCTTTCATGCCCTGTATAGGGAAGACGTTGACCACAACGATTTTGCCTTTGACCGCAACGATTTAGGGACCAAAGTTGGTCAAAAAGTGGTCGAATTTCGGAAATTTGCTAATTTGCTGACTTTGGGCGGCCACTGTGTCCATCTAGTTGCCGTAAAAGGCCTCCCTCAACGTCCTAGTATTCTCAAGACCTACTCTTTCATGCCCTGTATAGGGAAGACGTTGACCACAACGATTTTGCCTTTGACCGCAATGATTTTCCGACCAAGTTGGTCAAAAAGTAGTCGAATATCGGAAATTTGCTGATTTTGCTGACTTTGGGTGTCCACTGTGTCCAATCTAGTAGCCGTAAAAGGCCTCCCTCGACGCCCTAGAATTCTTAAGACCCTAGTCTTTCATGTCCTGTACGGGAAGGCTATTGACCGCAACTTGTGTGGGAGCGGCAGCCTCACAAAGTTGGTCATGAAGGGTAAAAACAGTGATGATCGGGGGCCTTTTGCGGTCTTATCTGCCGGGGCCTTTTGGGGGCCAGTCCGAGCCTGCAACGTTGTCGGGGGACTGTGCGTGCCTCGCTGGAGGCTACGGAAAGCGGGCCTCCCTTGAAGCTATGGGAAAGACGACCAGGCCACGACACGACGGCCAACGAGGGAACCCCATTGAGGTGATACAGTCCAATCTCGGCGATACTTCCTTCCCCTAAAGAAGAAAACCACGACGCAAATCACCACAATGCATGAGCCGTCGAAAACCGTCATCATCACAGACAATTCCTTACAATTTCTTAAAAGAAAAGGGTCTGCTTAGCTTGGGCTGCGATGTAAATCTTGCTCAGTCGAAATGAAATCCCAATCTATTTCGACCTATTTTTTGCAAATCAAAGTTAGATGTGAGAGATAATTGTAAAGTCCTTAAATTTTAACTACCGCGATGGACCCCTGCAGCACGGCAGCTGTCAAGTAATTAGCTAAGGTTATTAGTCCGAACATGTGCAAACAAACCGAACAGCATATCGTCAAATCACTGTCCTTCTCCGCGCCTTTTCTCGTAAAAGTATAAGCGCGGCGTCGCGGGGAGGCGAGACGCACTCCGTGAAGCACACAGCGACCCAACGCTGCGCCGAGAAATATCGCAGTCAGTAATTAAGCATGTAAATCATGGTAATCGCGCGGTGCGCTGCTTCAAGGAGCGGGGCTGCGATGGCGGGCGGAGCGGGCGGGGCGGGCTGGGGTTGGGCGGCGAGCCCGTGAAAAGGCAGGCAGAGTGATTGCACGCAAAACTTCTGCTCCTCGACCTGTTCCCAATGCAATACCCCCCAGGATAATTTTCCCGAATATTTTGATTCAAGATTTTTCTTCATTTTTCCTTCAAGGTTGAAGGAAAGAGACATTTTGAAACATGTATGTTTCCTAGATCGAGACAGATATTAGAGAGAGAAAGTGGTAAATTCATTAAAATAATTTAACTTTTTCGAGCAAATTTGTTCAGAAGTCATTGGTTTCCCTGGTTGTAAGGCACGATCATCTGCGTCGTGTTCATTCAAAATTGCGTTTTTAATGACGCACTGACCGTTCGAACGTGCATTCATCGTCATTGCTAGAGCTCATCAGGTCTCCGCAACAGTTCGAGTTTAGTGGCAAGGTTCCATGCTCGTAAGGAAGCCGTGACGAAATTCCAGAGCGTAGCCAACTTCTGTTAAATTAACATGATGGAAAAGAGCACGAGGCGGCCTGCCTGCCGCACTACCGCTACGGCGCTGCCGTCATGGCGGCCGCGGCATTTGACTGCGACGCCGCGGCCGTTCCGCCAGCCGCCGAGCGGAGCGCCCGCAGAACTCGGGATAGGCCACGCGCACGCGCGCACGCGCGGGGTGCAGCATAAGCGCTCGGCGTTCCGCGAGGTCCGCCTGCAGGCCTCACTTGTCGGGAAACCGTAGACCACAATTGATCGTACAGGCCGTTTCGGGCCCGGGGGGCACCAAGTCACATGGTTGTCACCGCACGCCTCGTTCGGAGAGCAATCCATTGGTGGGGGTCACACGTTCGGTTCGAGTCCTATTTAGCGACTCTGGAGCTCAAAACGCGTCTAGAGTTTTGGCCGCCTCCACCGGCTTCTGGCCCACTGTGCTGCAGGCCTCGTTTCACTTGACGGGAAACCGTAGACCACAATACGGGCCGTTTCGGGCCCGGTGACAACCATGTTGCACTGGCCGACATGACATAGCGCCCGTACAAAGAGCTGGCACCTCATCTCAGCGGCCGGGGCACCAAGCCACAC